TCGCTCCGCGTCAATATATGTATTGTCCAAGTATATCGCACCAAAACGTTTCTGCAAATTATGCGTCTCCCACTACTGTTGCACCACAACAACGGGGAACTATTAAATACCGCCAGTTTTTGCTCGGCCAACCCTACGAAACTGCTTGGGAAATGCGTTGGGGGCTGCTTCCCAGCCTTGCCACCAGTAAGACGGCTGCTGTACTCCCACTAAATTCGATATAAAATTTCAACGAAACAGGTTTTAGCCAGCCAAGCTGTCAAGTACGGATATCGTCCTATGAAAGTGATGTTACTAGAATGCTATCAAACGCCAACTGCAGCTGTAGCATGCTCCTCGATCTTGGGCTGAAAACTTTCCAGTTAGTACCCACTGCCTGTTCGATGTACGTCTGACTGTTGTAATTAATACCGATGTTATAACTGTAAAATTATTATTAATCGTCATTATCATTATTATTATTATTATCATCGTTATTGCCATTACTGCTGTTGTTATTGCCATTATTATTACTGTTGTCGTTATTTTTGTTATGACGATTACAATTATTATTGTGATTAATGTTGCCATTGTTATGGTTATTACCTCTAATGTGTTCATATCGTTATAATTATTACTATTGTTATCACTACTATTATCGTTATTATTGCCAACATTGACACTATTAATATTACTGTTACTACTATTATTATTGTTATCACTGTTATTATTAACAGTAACTGTATTATTGTAACTGTGAAGTATGAAGTATGGAGAATTTGCAAACCTCTTGCAAAATCGACATGGCGAATATGTTGTCGTAAAACTGGTTATCAGCACGGAAATCTCCAGTGAACAGTACACGCCCCATCGAGATGCGTTCACCTTCAAATACGAACATAACAGAATCCGGGATATGATTCGCATCCAACAGCATCACCCGGAAACCATCCATCTGATGCCAAATGTTCAGCTGCAGCGGATGAATCAGGCCAGGTTCCACTCCACCACGCGCTGGTCCACGTGTAACAATTGGCAGCATTCGCGCAGTTATCGGTGAACAGTAAATTGCACATTTGGTCCACCCCTTCTGCAACATGAAATAAATAGCCAGCGCACCGACTGCCGGTGCGAAGATGTGTTTTTTGCATAGCTCCTCGCAGATTTTTGTCGCTAACTGCACTGGTCATTCCGGCAGATACTTCCAACTAAAAGAATTGAGACTGTCTGCCAGGACTGTCAGGAAAAACCCCTTTAAAATTTCAGCTTTCTAGCTTTCCTGGTTCCCGAGTTAGCAGTTTGTTCATAAAAAACTTTAGCGGACCCGTACGCGGGTAAGAGCGCCCATTTGGGGATGGGAGCCCGTACATGAATGTAAATTGATTCCCCGAAGTTTCAGCCCTGTAAATTTGTAGGTAATCCCGAAACAAAAAATCAGTACAGACGAACACATAGACAACCCCTTGTCAACATGCATTTTCTGCATTGCATAGATGCAAAAAAACGCATAAAAAAATGCACCAGCAGCATCACCAAATGATTGCTGTTAGCAGTTGCTACCGTTTGGGCTACTTACCCGGGTGATTTTTTGCCTCTCAAAGAGAGCGAATATGAAGGGGGTTTGACAATCTTTTATAAAATTCTCCACTAATTCGCAGCAGCTGTGCCGTTAAGTGATCCCAGCTGCTATCGTTCCTTCTTTTAGTAATTGCAGCTCCCCCTCAAGGATTGCCTGTAGGTGAGTTGATGGCAAGTTTGTCTCTCGGGCATATGCAAACACCAATCTACCATCGAAACGAATGAACGAATCGTAGAGAGATTAGCTGTCCCAAAGTATAAAAATTACCAAACTCCCTGTCCCAAAATTACTGAAATTTACATTCAGCTTCAATCTTTCATACGAATTTTTTTGTGAACTCACATCCAGCGAGGTGTAGTGATCAGCGTGTGCATGCGTGAGGAAGTGGTACTTGACATTAACATTTCTCGTAAATTTATCAACCGCAATGAATTCATCGATTATCGCACCGGGATGAAGCATCACAAAGAATTGCTGAAAATCTGAAAAGAAATTAACACATGCGAGCCATAGCGCAGCAAAAACGAGAACTATAGGAAACAGTGAACCTAAGGTGAGTACCTGTTTGTACTTACGCCCGCAGCTTATGGCACTTCAAAGATATTTGTAGCAAAGTGGATATTTCGCTTACCGGATAAGCTGGGAGGTTGAAAATTCGTTGAAATATTTTCAAGAAA